AGCTTGCACTGCCTTCCTCCTATCTGACAAGATTTGTGGTGTCACATTCAGTGATACCTTTCATGTCCCTTTTATTACCAGTGTGAGAAATGAGGATACAGACTTTGTCTTACTTCTGTAGTGAAGACTTCAAATCCAACTCTGATCTCACTCTGAATGTACTTTACCAAAGACACCTGGAAGAAGCAGTTTTGATCAGTGTTACATAGGCTGAATTTTCTTATTTAACTACAAGGATTTATGTGGTTTTTCTTCAGGTTTTCCTAATGTGGGAAAGAGCAGCATAATCAACAGTCTTAAAGGAGTTCGTGCTTGCAATGTTGGCCTAGCAAGGGGTGTTACCAAGTAAGCCGAGTCTGATAAAAGCTGTTAATTTCCCTGTTTGTTGTGTTCTGATTACCTTGAGTTTGTTGTTTGTGTACAATTCCTGTCCATTAGGGGCAAAGTGTGTCCCTGTGTGCAGTTTTAAATGCACATTTCAGTTTGCCAGGATGAAAGATACAGATCTGTGTGATGCAAGCTGTCATGAGGGAACACACTCTTTTTGTACCTGTAGATTTCTGTCCTACGCAAAGCACATGATGAGAAAGCACTGAAACGGACTGAATGCACTTCACAGAGAGTCAAACTCTGAGCCTTGTCCTGCATCCCTCACCATTACCAGTCCTTTGCTAGCTGATTTATCTACTCACAGTGCATTTCTCCCTGAATAGGTCCATGCAAATGGTGCACATTGATAAACAGACAAAGATGTTAGACAGTCCAAGTATAATTGCAGATCCTTCCAACAACGCCCTGGCTCTGGCCTTGAGAAGTATCATAGACACTGAAGAATCGGGCTCAGCAGATGTGCTTGAAGGAGTAGATGCCATTCTAAATCACTGCAGTAAACAGCAGGTGAGCTCTATCTTTTTCCATATTTCTTACTGCATTTGACTTCTCGGTAGGTTTCTTAGGCCAATAACCAAAGTTTGTTTCACTTCAACTAGTTGTGGTAGCTTCTGCACTGCTTTCTGCTAACTACAGGGTCGCAAAGTTTAGTTTGGCTAGTGTATCCAACACTGAGTGTGATCTTTCATCCTTATAAATGGAAGGCAGAAATCAATATGCCAGGATCCTGTCAACCAGAGTCTGTTTTCCCAATAACTTTTCTGATTTTTAAAAAACCGTGCTTTTAAGATCTCATCACAGTATCACAGAGTGAAAAATGAGGATATTCTGACTGCTTCTTATTATTACAGTGAAGACCTCAGATCCAACTCTGATTTCACTCTAGTTTCAAGTAGATGAACCTAAGCTGAATTCCCATTCAGTTCTGGGATAACTTTTTTCACAAACTAGTGTGCTGTCTCACCACACCCACTAGTATGGGTGCTAGATGAATTTGTTGAAGTAGGCATTTTGCTTTGTAACGTTTAGTCCCACATGCATGAGAAAAAACAGCTTTTTGCATGCTTGTTCGTTTTCATTGTAACTCAGTTTGCTTTTTTAATTCCTAAAACTAAGACAAAAATGGTTATCGCTTTCTGAATGCGCCATTTTCTTTTGCACTAGGTAATGATGTACTATAGCATCCCAGATTTCAGGAACACTGAAGAGTTTTTAACTTTACTTGCTCAGAAAAGGGGTATGCTGAAAAAGGGAGGTGTTCCTGATATAGAGAATGCAGCTAAATTACTACTTTGTGACTGGACAGGGTATGTATGCTATGAATTTTGCTTTATGCTGCTCACCTTTTGCGCATTGTTAATCTATCACAGCAGAAGCTCTGAGTCCTGAGAAGTACTTAGAAAAGAGAGGCTGCTTCTCCCCACCCCCCCATTTTATTTTGATAAAGAGAGCTGGATTGGCTAGCAGACTTAGAGAATGCCATCCATGGATAATTGCCTAAAGAAGTGAAGGATACTCTGAAAGAGTGAAAGCACATTGCACATTACTCCATAGCCAGTTTGCTGACTTTTACCAGTCTGTTTGGGGAATCTGCCTTCTCAAACACTGAGTTCATATAGTCCTCTTCTACACACAGGAAAGGATATGGCAAATTTTCTGTGGAAATTCATAGCGGTTCCTACATTCTGATGGTGGGAATAAATGTAACTCAAAAATCAGTAACTGAGTGACTATTTCCCCTGCTCAAGTGGTTCAGCTGCTTTTACAGCTTATGAGTTTACAAGCAGATGATTGGCAGTGACAAGTATGGCGTTTATTTTTCCTCTCAGCAGTGGGCTATCCACTTAATACTGTTATTGATAACTTCAGAGTCAAATTTAAACAGCTACTTAACTGCTGTTAAACAGATGATAATAAATTAGTAGTTAGGTTGAGGAGTTGGAAGGGTTTGTGCTCAGGGTTTTATTTTTAAATACAGGGATTTAACTATGTTATCTTTGGTTGTTTTTTTAATGCTGATATTTCATTTTCCCAGAGCTAAAATAAGCTACCACTCACAACCTCCAGGATCTCAGAGCCTGCCACCATATCTTACAGAAGACAAAATAGCTGAAATGCAGGAGTGCTTCAATTTAAAGAGCCTAGAAGAAGAAAACAACACCACTGTCCAAGGTAGGACTGTTGTTGTAATGCAGTGCTACCATTAAGAGTGGCAGTAGTAGACTTAATGGGAGATTTTGAATTGAAGCCCTCTTGGGGTTTATATGATATATTTGCCAATATGCAGTGAATATTAACCTTTTAAGAAATAAATGGATTCTGATGCAACAGAACAGTGTATCTGTGTGCTGTCTTAACACAAATTACCCCTGCTAGTTCTTAGTTTCTGCTTATCTGACCTAACCCTCCTGAATAGGAAAGAGGGGAAAAGAACATTGAAGAGCAAACAAACACTGGCTAATTAAGCCAACAAAATACATTTTACTCAGTACAATCTATACTCAAATTCAAGTCTTTTCAGCTCCTAGCAGTGTTCTGTAGATGCCTCAGGGAAAGCTATTCTCAGTAGTTGTCCTTTGTTCTACCTGTTTATGTGGGAGTGCCATCTTATGGAAGGGAGGGGGCAGGACTATCTTTTTTTGGTTTTCAGCCTAAAATGGGTGTCTTGTTGGTGAGTAGGCATTACATCTGGTACTGTCTAACAGTGACTTAATAGACACTTCCTATGTTTTTCCCAGCTTTAAAATACCCCAGTCCAGCAAGCAGCATCATTTTCCAGTCAGCTGGTATGGCAAATGGGACAATAGAGGAAAATAAAGTGATAGAGGAAGTGTCTGAGTGGGAAAGTTTGGAAACAAGCAAGGAGGGGGAGGAAGAAGAAGAGGAGGAGGAGTTCACAGAAAGTGATGATGATCAAGACAGTGCAGAAGAAGACAATGATGTCAAAAAGGTAAGTCAGGGTTTCATTAGGCTTCTTCTACCTACTTAGATCCTGACATCAAAATACTCAGTATCTTTCTGTAAACTGAGAATGTATAGGCACTGTGGAGCCACCAGGAGTAATCAAAAAGTCTTTCTCCTGGAGGTAAGGGTTGGGCTTTTTGCTTAATTTTATTAAGGAAACAACATTGTTCTAAGGCTCATCCACACCAATCAGTCTTTGTTAGGTTTCATTTGCATGGGAGGCTTCATTAGTAATGTCTGAAAAAAACACATCTGACTTTTCTGACTTTCAGGAAAGCAAAGTTCAAATCACCAGGAAAACAAAGCCTGGAAAACAACAAACAAATTCTACAAATTCAGAAAAGCAGATAGCAGGTCTGTATTAAAAACCCCAGCTTGAAGGACAGTCTAGCAGTACTAGCAAGTACTCTAGCACTTGCATTGGTTTCACTAAAACATGATTTTCTTTTCTTAGAAAGCGAACATTCCAATTCACTATCATTCAGCTTGGATAAGACAGCAGATGAAGATGATGCCTATGATTTTAATACAGACTATGTGTAATGAATTATGTGTGAAGATACAGTTTGGAGACTCTTATTACTGGCTTTCAGAACAGTCATGAAGACTTGTGTTGGGGCAGAAGTTGGAGGAATGCTGCATACCAGAGCTGCTGCAAAGATCCACAGTTAGTGTTGTGTCAAATAATGTATATATCATCTCCCTTGATGGTTCCAGATTTTATACAGGTCTAGGAAACTGACTGTATTCAGCTTTAAGTCCTAAACTTTATTTCCTGTATTAAAAAAAAGGTCTATTTTAAAAAATTCCTAATAGACTGAGTTAATCTGTTCACTTTGCATTATAAAAATGTTTCAAAGGGATAAACCCTTTGTCTTTTTCTTTGAAAAACAATGGTAAGTGTTTAATTGTAGTCACATCCAAGAAATTAAATGTCAAGGTATGTTTTTATCCTCCCTTCATAAAATTTAATTGTTTTTCCTAGAGGATTATAGAGACTACCTCTAGACCAGTGAGTTTTCAGTATACTTTTGCAAAACACGTAGAACTTTCATAGGTAAAGGTTGTCTAGGAAATGCTACTTATTTCAGCTAGACAGGGTATTTTATCTAAACACTGCTCCAGAAGCTTCAGTGGGAAAGGTAACTGAGATCATGATACTGGTAATCTCTCTTCACTGGAGAACAAGCTGCTTGTTCTTACAGTGCTCTTGAACAAAAGACGTATTTTGTGATGACACCTCTTATACATGGCAACAAACTGGTAACTGTGAAGCAAAACGTTGCCTTGTGCAATAAGGAAGCGTTGCTGCACTCTACCTATAGCAGAACAGGGGTAACAATGGCCAAGAGGCCCTGCAGGTGCTCAACGAATTAAGCACTTAGAATAAATACCTGGCACTAAGCATCTTTCTGCTATGCATCTGTTTTCTTCCTACTAACTTAAAAGGTCCAATTTCTGTCTTCTTTTTGTAATATATAGTTGTATTTTCCCTAAACGTACATTGATGCACAGTCCTCCTGTGCAGGTTAAGAAAGTATCAACTGCAGACGCAGACACATGCAGTTTATTTAAGAGCGCTAAAACAGCCTGGTCATCATAATTCAGTTGGCATCGGTTGATCTGTTACAGTCTTTCAAAGTTTGGTAACAGAACTTACTTCATTATTTCTAACCACTTCAAGGACCACCCAGGAAAAGAAAGGATGGTTAACAAACCACAGGTCAGCACCCATGACAGAAACAGAACTAGAGGCAGTGACTGCAATGAGTCAAGCAGTTGGAAATCCTTTTAAAGCAGTAGTAAAACAATATTCACACACATGAACGAGCCCTTTAGCTCTCTGCTGCCCTGTATGTCAGACCACACAACACTGAGCCCATCACTGTATCAACACAAAGCCTTTTATATGAACATCTTATACTGAGAACTGTTCACAAGCACTATTATTGAATAAAAAGGACAACTTGAGTTCAAACCTGTATTAAATGGACTAGTTGGCACAATAACTGCTGGGATATATCAGCTAATAACCAGTACTACAACTATTAAAAAAAAAACAGAAAACTTACCTATAGAAAAGGTGATGGGCAGACAGCTGCGAAAGGGCACAGGAGTCTCAGTTGATGAGTTTAAAGGGCCAGACTGGGAAAGGCACAGTGGAAAAAACTTCTATAGCAGAGCCATGCTCACTTGAGAGAACTATGAGGGACTTAATAAAAAAGTTATTCTGCAATTCATAGAGCCTGATCCCCAAAATAAAATATTCTGCACAATTTTAGAATGAGATTTCACAAATATAAGATCAATTGACTTCTAGTTTCAATCACTTACTACTGTATTTAAGTACAAAGGAAACACACTTCATATATCAGATCAAGACTAGAATCATATTGTCATTTACCCAAGGTTTGAGTCAACATGTTAAAATTAGCTTTTATTTTTGAACAAAGTTTTCTCCACCACTTTACAAAAAATGTTTTAGTGTTCACTGTCAGTCAAAACCACTTTGCATAGTGAAACAATACTTGAAAAATTAATCTTTCAAGAAAATGATTCATTTTTGCCAAATTCTGCAAGAAAGACTTACACAGAAATGGAAGGAGATTTCATGCAAGAAAGGGTTGTTGAGAAAACTATTTTACAGGATAAGAAAACAAAACAAAAAAAAAAACAAAACCCAAGCTGCTCTTAATTACAGTACATTGCTGTGCAAGATTTGCATGGTGCAAGCACCAGCTGAAGTTGTATCTTCTTAGAAACTGTTTCCTTCGGTAGCTGACAAAGTGATTCTCCTCTAGAAGACTTGCAGTAAAGAGCAAAACCAACAACCGACACAAATGAACTAACAAAAGTGCTGCTAGTGTGTGGAAATCCTCCCTTGCTTTCTGTAGTGCTGCTGGAGTAGCATCCTCTGTCACACAAGGGAAGGGAGTCTCCTTTGGACCGGTGCCTTTCAGAACCGCACCTGAATAAGTGTGTCACCTTGTGCTCCAGAAGGCAAGGACTGCTCTGTAATACACGTTGGCTTAAAAAAAAAAAAAAAGTTCTGCTTGGCTCCAGAAGTTTCCTGAGAAAATGCTGTCAGATATTAAAATTTACTCTACTTTGCTTCATAGGCTTCTGAATGTCTGCGGATCAGGCTGAACTTCCCTGTAGGGTCAGGGACATACCACTTCTCCCAGACTTCAGCATATGAAGCTGTTCTTCCCCATGGTTTGAAATGTCCATTCCAGTGGAGCAGCTTGGCAGCTTTCACAAACTGAGGAGAGTACCTTTTTCCAGCACTAGACCCTTTTATTGAAAAAGAAGCATTAGTGCCTGAAATAAAGGCAGGAGAAACACCAACATGCAATATTTTAACTTTAAAACAAAGGATTTTAACAAAGGAAATTAGTCATTTATGGAGAGAGGACGTGATATGGGAGGCAGAAATCAGGGCAAAGTGAAAAACAATCAGGTGCAACTGAATGCCACTTTGATCTGTCTCAGTATTGATTTTAATGTACTGCCTTAACTTCCAAGTTCTTTAAAAGCCCCTTAATACCTGGATGTATTCAGCAGCCTATGTATTGTTTATTGGAAACAAAACCTAAGAAAGCTCTTCCAGCATTGGGTTTCAGCAGTAGCAGAACAGATAGGAGTGTCTGTTCCTCTCAACAATCTTGGAAGAAACACCTAGGATCACTTCAGATACAATATATATGTGTAACAAGGAAAGGAAAATGAGAAGTAATTTGAGAGTAAGTCAATTCAAGAACTATATCCCTAGCAGTTCAAAAACAAACCTGAATGATGAGGTCCACAAGCCCTAAGATGGTATTACACAGCACTGTTTCTTAAAGAACAAGGTATAAAATAGGGGAAGAAAAGATCCATTTGCTACATGATCCACTGATGATGATACAGATCTGGAAAAACACACTGGGGGGAGCAGTGTCACAAATGTTTCATACATACCGAGATGCCGGACATTCCACATGGGATCAATACTGGAATGTTGCTTGTAAAATACAATTAGCAGTGGAGGTGTCGTGATGCTGCCAGCCAGAGTCCTACTGTAAAGTTCCTCTCTGGAAGAGAAGATGAAAAGAAGTTGGGAAAGGATGCTTGTGTGGCCCTAAATCATTTGATTTTCATTTGCAGCTGCATGATGGGAATCCACAGATACATACACAGTCCTCATTTAACCGTTAAATGCCATCACCATAACACAATCCCTGACCTGCTGTCACCCCCAGCTTTGGGATACTTACACTACATTAAGTGCCATCCACTTCTCCAATTGCTTAGTGATGTTCTGTAATTTCCATTCTGTCAAATTGGCAACAAAAACTCCTGGATTGAAAGAGCAGGTGTTGGCTTTCATGGCAAGCTTTCGGATGGTTTCTTTTTTGTAATCTAGAAACCCAATGTAATTATACTGAAAAAAAACAAAACAAAACAAAACAAAAACAAACACAGAGGGTAGAAATTCACTTAAAATATGGTCACATGACTATTTAAAGAAAAATTTTGCACAGCTCCCAACAGACAAGCATAACTTGAAGTTGTTAAAGCAAATACTGCTTCCTTTAAAACAAGAAAAAGAAGGCTTAAGAGGCCTAACATTTTAAAAATGTCATTATATAAGCTACGTACTTTAAAGAATGCTCCATGGTCTTAATAATACCGTATTATTAATATGGTACCACCCCCAGAAAAAGTACATTTTATACACTCACATATCAAAAATTCTCCCTCTGATGTTCTAAGACCTCCTGCTGTTCTACACTGGGAATTGCTTGCATTGTAAAGCACAGCAAAAATTCAAAGTGCTTTTACTGTGCCTAAAGAGAAACTGCAGTCATCATTTGTAACACAAACATCAGAGTAAACTGATTTTGGTAGGGACAGTCACGCCTTTAGGTTCACTGCATTTGGAAGTCAACCTCCAAGAACATTAAAACCGAGTGCCTGTTTCCCAAGCCTTGGATGTATAGTACTATTACCACTGAATCAGAATAAAACTAACCTGATTGCCTGCTCCACGGACAGCAACTTTATTAGTGGTTGAGTCACAATCATCTGAAAATGCAGCTGCATGTCCAGGTTTCAACGGAGTGTTGTAAAGTTCAAGAATATCATCTGAAAAATGGAAGTAAGAACAGAAAAATTAAAAGCAGTCCTGATTAAGTGTTGAGTGACTTTTTGTTCAGCCAATTGCTAGAGCAGATAAAACCATTCAGTTTAATCTAGCTCATTCATATTTACAAAGTTTTTACATCTTTCCTTGAAGTGTTTGGTTACTGTAAGAAATGGCATACTGACCTCAGCATAAGGCCAGTGGCAAAAAGCTAAGAAAAGGTCCCGTACCTTGCACTATTACATCATCATCCACATAGATGGCCTTCTCTGCATGAGGTACCAAGTTGGGCAAGTAGAATCTTGCAAAGGTTAACTGTGAAAACAAGAAAGCAAGAGAAGTGCAGAATTAAATGAAAAATTGTCCAAATAAACATGAAATTGACTGATACTCCTGGTACTTATCCGTGGCAATAATGTCCAAGACAACATCTATCAAGGAAGTAAAATAGGCAGCAATATCCTAGAAGTTATTTAAAA